TTTCCTGCAGTGATCGAGTCGGGATCTGAGGCCAAACTGTGTGCAAGTCTTCTCAAGCCCAATGAAAGCCTTGTCATGAACATTTATGTGGTTCATGGTGACCAGAGCACTTTACTGCTGCAGGAGAAAGCTGAGGAAGAGTTTCACCGCTGCTTTAACTTCAAGGTCTGTCATCAGCACATTATAATAAATATATTCAAATATGTTTGTTTCATCATAATTCATCTAGGTTTTTGAGATGGCCTGTTTGCAGAGGTTGTGAATACAGGATATTATTTCACATCAGGCTCCTCTGGTAGAAGCAGAATCAGTGCAGAGAATGAAGGTAGAACTTCAAGGAGAGACTTTCAAGATGACTGAAGAGAGAAAAGTCATGTTCAGATCTTACCATCCTCTGACCTTTATCCAGACTGATAAACCCATCTATATTCCAGGACAGACAGGTGAGCTGTGAATGTTTAAAAGGTTAAAAAACTGTAAATACTGCTGGTGTCATCAAATATAGGCCTATACCCCCTCCTTGACAAAACTGCATTTTAGTAAACAATATATTGAGCATCACAGTTTGATATTAACCCGGCTTTGTGATGTCAAACATGTACAGTGTAAAATGATGCGGTGTTAAAATATCACTGTCATGGAAAAAACATAATGGAAAACCGTGTGCTGTATAAACAGTCGTTTTAGCTTTTGAGATTAAAAATGTCAAATGTTGATGGAAAACACTTGAGGAAGAGTGTGTTTTATTCTTATCTTTTAGTCCACCTAAAAGTCCATTCAGGAAAAACCTGATAGTACAGTCTGCAATAAAACGAGGATGCGCAGTGCTGGAGCCTTTATGTAAACAGGTCGCCATGTTAGTACATTCGTGCAGTCAATGACACTGACTCTGCAAAAAAATACAAATAGAACATTAAACCCAGGAATTATAAATGTAAGATAAAGAAGACCTATAATTTCGAGTGAATGAGCATTGTAAAATATTTAGCAAGATAACCCAGGATTCTGTTCAGGACAAACTGGATGGTCAGGAATAGCTACAGCTTACAGTCCATTAGATCTGAAATACTGGTTATCACAATATAAACATGGATTGTAATTATATTTATCACACATTTTTGTTTTCACAGTGAATTTTAGAGTTGTTACCATGGATAAAAACTTTTCGCCGCTTGATCAGCAGGTCTGGCATGTGTTTTTTTCTTTTCTTATGAATTAAACCCGGAAAGCCATCAAGGTGTGTACAGACTGAAGGCTTATATTGGTGACAGGATGATCTCACATGATTTTGAGGTGAAAAAATATGGTAAGTAATAAACTATTTGCAATGTTTGCATGGGAAAATTTTCATACAAAGTAAAAATGTGATTAATAATAACTATAACTTTCATCTTCTGTAGTTTTGCCTAAGTTTGAAGTTACTGTTACAGCACCAGAGACAGTGAGCATAGATGATGAGTTAATGGCAGTTGAGGTTTGTGGAAAGTGAGTAGCATCTTTACTTAAACGTCTATCCCTTTAAGGTTTCGGATTGTTTTCTTCCATACATCTTTGTCTTGTACATTTTTCACAGATACACGTACGGGCAGCCTGTATCTGGTAAATCATGGGTGAAAGTGTGTCGTGATATTCCACGCTACTCTCACAGGCGTGACAAACACAGTCCAATATGTGTGAATGAAACCACTGAGGTTTGTCAGTGCAGTACCAAAAGTGGCATGTGACATTTGTTTCCTACATCCAGATTAAGTCACTCTTAGGCATTGTGTGTGTGTTCATTCATTTCCATTAGATGAAAAAGACAGGCTGTGCCATCCATACCTTAGATATATCTACCTTTTTAAACTCAACATATAATGATCGACTAGAAAATTCTCTTCATGTTGAAGCATGTTGGTGCAGATCTGGCTCCTGCAGTGCAGATTCTGGCCTACTGTGTTCTGCCCAGTGAAAATGTTGTTGCTCGTAGCACAAAATTTGACATTGAAAAGTGTTTCAAAAACACGGTATGTAAGAAAAAATCTGCCCATTTACACAATCACGGTCATTCTGGTTCAATATTAAAATGACACACCCTACTGTTGTCGTCACAGGTTTCTCTGCAGTTTTCTCCTGCTAAAGCAGTTCCTGGTGAGAAAAACACTCTCCAGCTCTCAGCTCAGCCTGGTTCACTGTGCGGCCTCAGTGCTGTAGATAAGAGCGTCCTGATCCTGAAGCCAGGAGAACGTCTGGATACTGACAAGGTGTAAATGCTTCAAGATTCTAGTGTCTACTATGTTCCTCATTATTGTTTAAGGTGACTTGGGTGTTAAAAGGATAGTTCACCCAAAAATGAAAAAATATATAATATGGCTCTTTCAAGCTTTATAATGACTGAATGAGGGTTGAGATTTTGAAGCAAAATAAAGTGCGTCCATTTCATCATAAAAAGTACTCCACATGGCCCCGGGGGGTTAATAAAGGCCTTCTGAAGTGAATCGATGCATTTGTATAAGAAAAATATCCATATTTACAACTTTATAAACCGTAATCTCTAGCTTCCGCTGTCGTACATGCGTTCACGAGAGAGTGGTGTCCAGCGGATGACGTAGGATGTAGGTAAACGTGGAAGCGCAGAGGAGAGAGCAAAACAAAACACCGGTCACAAATTAGAAGTATGGAGGATTTCAATATAAGCCAAGAGGAGACTGGTTTTCTTTTGCTGTAAACAAAACTAGACTAGCAGTGAGACTAGCATATTCTGGAATGCCACTCTCGTGAATGCGTGTACAACAGTTAGCAGACACTAGAGATAATGGTTATTTATTGTGAATGTGCTCTCATCACAGATCTTCAATATGCTGCCAGTGCAATCAGTGTCAAATTATCCTTACAGTGTTGAAGATGAGCAGGAGTGTCTGCATGTGAGACCCCGTCAAGCTTTAATGACAGACAATGCCTATGAATCCTTAAAGGTAACAAGTGGATTAATATGTGTAACAATGCAGTAGATTAGCTGAGTGTCTACATGCATAAATATATCAATGCATGTGCTTAAAATTCCTTTTATTCTGACAGTTACAAAAAAAAATATTTTATTTCTGTTACATGTGGTTCATCATTGCTGTTTGACAGAGTGTGGGGCTGAAAATGGCAACAAATTTGGCTGTGCGAGTCCCTAAGTGTCTGTCATACAAGGACTTGACTTATCACAGATATGAAGATATAGGTAATATCTGGTATGAGTTCATTCAGACATACATTTGCTATCAATGATTTAATATGACTGGAATTCACCATTATTAAGCACATTTTCACTGCAAGAGCACAGATGACTCTTTATTTGTTTTGTGATTATGGTGACAGTTGTCTGATCTGTAAAATCAGCAGTTTTCAAAATTTGTGACATCAAGGAACTGCTTGAAAGAGCTGCACCTCCCAAAATGTAAAGGCCCATTTATTCTGTGAGAAAAGTGTAAAATTATGAAGACAACATGTTTAAGCTTAATATTCTTATTATACTTATTATTATACTTTGCATTATGCTGACAGTGTATCTGTTTCTTCACACTATTTGATGTTAGATGTACAAAGCTCAATTACGTTTTTTGTTCAATTCAACTTTTTTTATGTATAAATTATTAATAGGCCCCATGATTTAAAAAAGCTGATTTAAATTTATTAGCATATTACAAAAAATGGAAATAAATAGTTACAGTATAAACAATAAAAGGAAAAATATCAACATTGTTGAAATGTTGTCATTATAAAATAATATATTGTAGGTAGTTTTAATGTTGTGAACACAGAATATAGTTTAGATATTTCAGAAAGTATCTAATGTGATAGAGATACAAAATTTTGATTTTGTACAGTATTTTTGTACAAAATTGCGACATGTCCTGATTCAGGTGTCACATCTTTAATTGTGCTTTATTTTAGCAGAGTATGAACTATCATATGACAGTGGCGTAGCATTGGATTTGAATTATGAAGATTCTTCAGTTGAAGTGACAGTTCGTACTGTCTTTCCTGAAACATGGATTTGGCAGCTTTCTGCAGTTGGGTTAGTGACAATATTGTTAACTGTCAACATCATTTAACATCATATTAATACCACAATACCTGTAATGCTTCTCTTATACATAAATTCACATGTAAACGAATATGTGAATTGGACTGTTTAGGATTCATATAAACAGAACTTTCATTGGATTCATTCAGAGTGATGAAAATTAGACATACTAGAGACCTACTATGAATCAGATTATCAGTGTTTTATATCTGTGCTGAATGTTGTAAAAGCAAAACAGCATCTTAACAGTCCAATCGAATACTGTTGTAATTTCAACACAGTGACTCTGGATCAGCTCAGGTTCCTGTCACAGTTCCTGACACTATCACCTCTTGGGACACAGAGGCCTTCTGTCTGTCCTCCAAAGGTCTGGGTCTGGCTCCTCCTGCTCAGCTGACAGTTTTCCAGCCCTTCTTCCTGGAGCTCTCTCTGCCTTACTCCATCATCCGTGGGGAGATCTTTGAGCTGAAGGCCACTGTCTTCAACTATCTGTCCAAGTGCATCATGGTGAGACTTCAGACTCAGTCTTATCCAATCATATCAAATATGCCACTAATCCTGTGTGTTTGATTGACAGGTTAAAGTGACTCCAGCTGCTTCCTCAGACTACACTCTCAAAGCCTCCTCTGATGATCAGTATTCATCCTGTCTGTGTGCTAATGGAAGAAAAACCTTTAAATGGATCCTCACTCCTTCTGTTCTTGGTGAGTTTTCCAGTCTGAATCATTGTTTCTCAGTGTTTGTGTCTGTTGTATCTTCACGTACATGTCTTGTGTTGTAGGAGTCTTGAATATTACAGTCAGTGCAGAGGCAGAGGCGTCCCAGACTGTGTGTGACAATGAGATTGTGAGCGTGCCAGAGAGAGGACGCATTGACACAGTCACACGAAGTCTGCTTGTACAGGTCAGCGCACGTCAAATGGCTCTCAGACGTCATTTCTCCATGATCCTAATGCTGCTTATGTCAGTATGATGTGTTGATGTTACTGTTTTATTCTGCAGGCTGAAGGAACTGAGAAGACAGAGACCTACAGCTGGTTACTGTGTCCAAAGGGTTTGTCTGCAGACAATATTTAGCATCATAGTGTGTTTCTCTGCTGATCACTGATGTGTGTTTCTGTCTCTCTGGTTCATAGGCGACACTCTCTCAGAAGAAGTGGATCTGACTCTTCCTAAAGATGTGATAGAGGGATCAGCCAGATCCACTGTTTCAGTCATTGGTAACATTTACATACACAAGCAGAAATAAGGAGTTTGTGTTTGGGTTTCTAAAATGTAGTGAGTTTCATTTGTGTTTGTAGGAGATATATTGGGTCGTGCACTGAGCAATCTTCACGGATTATTACGGATGCCGTACGGCTGTGGAGAACAAAACATGGCTGTTCTTTCTCCCAATATTTACATTCTGCAGTATCTGGAAAACACAGAGCAGCTCACCTCAGCCATCCGAGAGAGAGCCACCGGCTTCCTTAAGAGCGGTGAGAGAAATCAATCATGTCAAGAAAATAAGTCATGACATTTTTGACGTCAGACACACTTAATCAACCCAAATATTTAATCACTGTCAAACTCAACAGGATACCAGAGACAACTGAACTACAGGCATAACAGTGGTGCATACAGCACATTTGGACACGGTGATGAGAATACATGGTAAATATTTGTAACTTTTTACTCTCACTTTTTCCTAAATAGTTACAAAGTTAAAATAGTAAGCAGTAACATGGTATTTAGTTTCAATAATTTATGTACAGATTTAATCAACTAAAACAACTAATGATATTATTAAAATGAAAACTTTAAAACACCAGGTTGACTGCCTTTGTCCTGAGGTCTTTTGGCAAAGCACAGAAATACATATTTATTGATCCACAAATTATTCAGAGTGCAAAGGAATGGTTAATAAGCAGACGGGATTCAGACGGCTGTTTTATCCAACAGGGAAGATTGTTTAACAACAGAATGAAGGTGTGTTATTTGTCACTAAACATTATCACAGAAACCATGCAGAAACAATCTATCTATAACAAAAATATTTTACTTAATGTTCCTCTAATATAAATTTCAGGGTGGGGTGAATGATAATGTGACCATGACTGCCTACATTACTGCATCACTGCTTGAACTGGAAACTCCAGTCACAGTAAGTTCATCTACAGGAAACACAGTATAAACTCATAAAAAAATTTGACTCACAGCGGCTGTTTCTCTGTCTTTGTCTCAGGATCCTGTCGTCACTAAAGGTTTGTCATGTCTGAAGTCCGTCATTGAGGATGTCAAAAACACTTACACCACTGCTCTGCTCGCCTACACGTTCAGTCTGGCTAGAGACAAGCACACTCGACAGCAGCTTTTCAAGAAACTGGAGGATGTTGCTATTTCAGAGGGTAAGAGATTTGTTTCTGATGACTTTCTGTTGTCCTATATGCCTATACTTTTTTTTTTGGTCATGCTTGTTGAATTACTGGTGTCTCTTTTGTCCATGTGTCCTAAAGGGTCTCGTCTCCACTGGTCTCCGTCTGCATCTGCTGATGACTCTGATTCTCTGGCAGTGGAGATCAGCTCATATGTGCTGCTAGTCATGACACTAATCTGCGGTGATTCCGATTGGTCTCATTTTCATTTCAACCATGACTGTAATGCCTGAAAAAGCAGCGTTTGTGAGCTCAGTGCTGCTTTGTGTACAGCCGTTGCCGGGGAAACCGCTATTTTTACTGCTCCAAAAGCGGCACCTAGTGGCAAAGAATGAATTTGCATTTTCATTCAGACCAACACGAAAAAAAACAACAAGAGGGCGGGCAATATGCTAATGTTTCATGTTGACATCAACATGAAACGACTTGGGATTCGTTTTAAAAACGACTCATTTCAATGATTCAGAGTCTACTCTTTCTTTTGAGAGACAATAACTTTATACACGTTGCACTTTCAGATTTAAAACTTTGCAGGATGTTTTCATTCACTTATAGCTGTGTTACATACCTAATGTGTTACATTATTATTACCATAATAATAAAATTATGGTAATTTTCAAAAATCCATAATAGCGGCACTTTAAGACGTACCAATTTTTGCACATTTTTACTACTATTTCCTTGCATGTTTGCTTTACTTTGCAAAAACTGAAAAAAAAAAAACCTAGTCATCATCATCATATTTTCATATTAATAATTATATTTTCCCTATAGCTTAGAACATCCTTTGGTTCAGGAGTAATGTATGCTCAGAAGTATTTGGAGCGGGTTGACACAAAAGAAGACCATGTCATAGTTTATTTAACAGAGGTAAATAAATAATAACATTTATAAAATTAACATGTATTTAATAATTGCCATGACTGGTACTGTATATGTATTTTTGTTTATCCTCCTGCAGATTCCAAAACATATTTCTATGAATTACAAGATGCAAATGAAACAAGTTCTTCCAGTGAAGAATCTCAAACCAGCAGTGGTCAAAGTGTATGATTACTACCAAACAAGTAAGATTTTATTTTAACATCCAGAAAAATGTAAAGGTGATGGTGTGCAGTTTAATGCAATTTTAATTAGATAAATAACAAAACGTGTAATTCACAAACTCTCTTTGTTTTTAATATTTTATTTTGTTTTTTGTGTGTTGTTGACACAAAGCCATGCTGTATTATTTTGCCATCAATTGGCGTGCTCATTTAATTAATCTTATTACTTGCTATTGTCTAATTAAAGGTCATAGTAACCACTAACAAATATCACAACTATTTTCATGATAGAGGTATTGCATTTTCTAGTAATATATATATATATATATATATATATATAGTCAGGTCCATATATATTTGGACACTGACACACTTTTCTTAATTTTGGCTCTGTATGCCACCAGAATAGAATTAAAATGAAACAATCAAGATTTTTATTGAAGTGCAGACTTTAAGCTTTAATTCAAGGGGTTGAACAAAAATATAAAATGCTTAGGAATTACAACCATTTTTATACACAAATGTAATTGGACAAACAAATATAATCATAAATAAAATGTTAAAATTTTTTATATTTTGTTGAGAATCCTTTGCAGGCAATGACTGCCTTAAGTCCGGAACTCATGGACATCACCAGAGACTGTGTTTCCTCCTTTGTGATGCTTTGCCAGGCCTTTACTGCAGCTGACTTCGGTTGTTGTT